GTTGTCGAAACGTCAGTCACCAACAACAGTTCTTTTCAGAACTGCACTCACCCGGACGATCACACTATACCAACTACTGATACTCCTGGGTTCAAACCATTTACAATGACGATGATGCCATCCACTTGTGTACAACTAGTGAAACCAATCATTCCTTTTGAATAATCTTTTCTCTTCTTATCTTTTTAGGATTTCCTTTCCAGCGAGGTCGCCGCCACATGCCTCATATTCCTTCACTGGGATATTCTCATTGTGAAGTAATTCGCCTCAAGCCTTACATGTTTTATCCTGACAAACCACTGGAAGTTCAGATAACTGTCAATCATATTGACACTAGTGACAAGTCATATGTACATGACGCTGCTGTGTCGTGGATAGAAAATGTCAGTTACGATCGATTCACCACGTGTGTGATGGCGGCTGGCTACAATGAGCGGAAATCTAATGCTAACGTGACAGTTGATTGGATGGCGTACCAAGGGGGTCCAGTGGGTGGTGTTGCCGGGGAAGTACGAATATCACAATGGTGGACCGGGACGACTTGTAAAGCTGTCAATTTTCCTTCGGTAAGTCTTTTCTGTTTTAACTTCAATTTTACTAACTTCACTTTTCCCTAAGATGTCACTGGACCACTGAATAATACTTTCATTAACTCAATCTAGCCTTTAGACAGTCTGTATTATTGGCTAGGAATCTTGGTTTCTCCTGTTTCTAGATATATATAGGTTGCTGAACCACTAATTATGTTGTTATCTTTAACTTTTTAAACGCAAAACAACTTTTTTCCTGACTATTTTTGTTGACTGGCGTAATTATTATTATTTTTTGTTTGTTTTCCATGCAGGGGAAGTTTTCAGTGGTACCCTCAGTGTTTGTAACTGCTGCTCACCGTCATGCCGGTCTAAAGCGTGACGCTGCCAGCTTGTGGATTGAAGACGTCACGCAATCGTCATTTAAAGTTTGTTTGAGAGAGCTGCAGAACTACGCAGGATCGCACGAAGACGTTCATGTTGTAAGTGTCACAGCTTCCACAAAACAGGACCTATATAGAACAAGCTCACTCTAATATACCTTATATTAGCAAAACAGTAGGGCTGGTTGAGTAGTAATCGGTGGTAAGGTTTACTTTATAATAAGCTTTTTCATCAAAATGTATATTTTAGTTAGGAACAAATGAAACAGCTAGAACTAAAAAAAAAAAATGATAGCAATGCAGTTATTCACCCATTCTTTTTGGATTTGCTCATAGATGTAAACTTTTTTGTTTTCTCATTAATAGAAATGGCTAGCGTTTTCGTCTCTCCACAAGCCTCTTTTCACAGAGCATAGTTCAGTCTATTTTGCTAACTCCCAGCATCCTCCTGCAGATTACAACAATGCTTTCTGCAAGGTCAGTATCAAAGTCGTTTTTAATGAGGAACATCTGAATTTCGTTGATTAAATTGGTTATAATAAATCTAAGAGTTTGCTTGAAACTTTATACCAGTGAACCTGCACTGCCAACTAACTCCAGAAGATTCTTATTGGATGCAGTGGCAAACGTATTGAGGAGCGTGCGTATTCCTGGACTATAATCTGCAAAACGTACAAATCGACAGATTTTCTTAAAATTATGTATCAGTTTACACTGTATTGCTAGTTTCCTGTTGCATAGCTAACTAACACCAGGGGGATTTTATTGGATGCTGTAAACTTTATGCAAACTGTAGATGCCAAAGTTAATGAAAGCATTTAATGTTTCTTAGGATATCCGCTTTGCTAGGAAGTATAACAGCACCCCAAACGTGTTTGTATCGGCGAACCATTCATCTAGCGGTGGAAATCAACAACCAGTACACAATGGAATAACTGCTTGGGTGGAGGTAGAATGGAAGCTCTATATTTACACTCCGCTGTTTAAGTTAAAAGTTTTATAGCAAAATTAGAGTGCAATTTAACAATGAAAAATCCGGGGGGGGGTTTCAAATTTTTGAAATGACCATTCACTCTGAGGGGCTAAAAACTTTCGGGAGCTGTTCATTCACCCTCTGCGAAATCATAATATGTCAATTGTGTGTCTATTATTTTTGACGTTGCCATGGCAACCGCAAATTTCACATAGGTTTGGCCAAAACTCAACTTTTTTGACATAATTCTGTATTTATCCCCAGTTCCATTCATCAAATTGCAGAAATTCACCAATTTATACATTTCATAAGCATTATGGCTTCAACGTGTATTAATTTCCGTTATTTCTTTAGCTTTAAAAACACAGTGAAATCCAAGATGGTGGATCTAAGTTGGAGTGTCAAGTGACGTCATACCCAACAAAATTGTACCATAGCTCAGGGCTATCTAATCAATGTAAATTTAATTCCCTATGAAAACCTAGGGGAGTGGTTCCATCAACCCCCCCCCCCCCCCCCGCCAACTTTTACCACGGTGGGGGTATGAGTTAGCTTATACGTACCCAATATAATTTCATTCTTGGAGACTGATTTTGTTTTATTCTTTATTGTAGTATATCAATATGACCGGTGTCCGGGTTTGTTTAAAGGAATTGTATGGGACAAAGTATGATCCACTCTCTATCTCATACACTGTCCTGTCAGGTAGGGACAAAAAATTGCCCTCTTAGGTTTGAGTTTTCCTCTAACAGTAAGATATGCATTTTAGACTCACGTTGTTTTAACGTCAGAGATTTATATGAAATAAAACCTGAAATCAAACATTTGAGGTTGTCTCTAAAAACACAACTAAAGAGCAACTCAAATCACTTTATTGGCTTTCTTTACTTATGGTGTATTTCTTTGTGTCTACAGACGTTTGTCAGCCAGGATGGACTTACTTTGGTGGTTATTGCTACTTCACAAGTCCCGCATGCACTTCATGGTTGACCGCGGAGTCAAACTGTTCTGTGATGGACTCTGATCTGGTGACTATACACAACCAGGAGGAGAATGTGTTTATTCAGCACCGTCATAGTGGAGATAAGTCTTGGATAGGGCTGAATGACCGCAGTGTTGAAGGCTCTTTTGTTTGGACAAACAAAGAAATTAGCAGTTTTAGGTTCTGGGCTCCAAAGCAACCAAACGACTGGAACAACGAGGATTGTGTGCACACTCTAGGAACGAGGCATGGATACACTTGGAATGACGTACCCTGCAATAATTGCTTCAACTTTACTTGTTTTACAGGTGACAAATCAATTGCTAATGTGTAATTGTTCCATCATGATTTATCACTTGATTGACCAGTAGGCTGATTGACTGAGGCTGGTAAGTTTATCGAGTAAGCTTTGCGGGGAAAAGGCAATGCAAACAGCGCGGAACAACAGTTGCAAAAGAATAATTTCGAAAAATATAGCACGTTAAGATCAGGGCCATTATTGATTTAGACTACACACAAATTGCTAAATATGTATATAAATGAACACATGATTGATCATCGCAGTTATACACAGTTTAAGCAGTTGTGAAACTAAAGCCTGAAAAAGAAATCCAGGCCTGAACGGGATTCGAACCCATGACGTCTGCGATACCGGTGCAGTGCTCTACCAACTGAGCTATCAAGCCAACTGAGAGCTGGTCACGTTGTGAGTTCGTAATATAACCATATAGATGATGATGAAGAAAGCAAGTGAATATAATTGAAAGATCATATATTTGAACTACAGATAAAGGTATGAAGACATGATTGATCATCCCAGATATACACAACTTAAGCAGTTGTGAAATTAAAGGATGAAAGAAATTCAGGCCAGAATGGGATTGGAACCCTGACCTATGCGATACCGATGCAGTGCTCTACCAACTGAGCTATCAAACCAACTGAGAGCTGGTCACATTGTGAGTTCGTAATATAACTATAGATGATGAAAAAAGCAAGTGAATATATTAAAAAACATATATTTGAACTGCGGAGAAAGATATGAAGACATGTTTGATCATCGCAGTTATACACACAACTTTAGCAGTTGTGAAATTAAAGGCTGAAAAAATTCAGGCCTGAACGGGATTCGAACCAATGACCTCTGCGATACCGGTGCAGTATTTTACCAACTGAGCTATCAAGCCAACAGAGAGCTGGCTATTTACGTTGTGAGTTCGTAATATACCCGTAGATTTGATCTTTCGTATATTCACTTGCATTCTTCATCATCTACGGTTACTGTACGAGATCACAACGTGACCAGCTCTCAGTTGACTTGATAGCTCAGTTGGTAGAGCACTGCACCGGTATCGCAGACGTCATGGGTTCGAATCCCGTTCAGGCCTGGATTTCTTTTTTTTTCAGGCTTTAATTTCATGACTGCTTAAGTTGAGTATAACTGCGATGATCAATCATGTCTTCCTATTTTTTTCCGCAGTTCAAAATATATGATCTTTGATATATTCACATGTATGTATATAAATGTTGCAGACCTGGACGAGTGTAATACTAACACACACAACTGTGACGTCAATGCGGATTGTGTGAATACCGTGGGCTCATATTCCTGTATGTGTAAAGCTGGATATACCGGTGATGGACAAACTTGCAATGGTAAGAAACAATTAAACACACGAACCGATAATAATCTTACCACTACTACGACTTCTACCACTACGACTGCCACTG